TATAAATAATCTTACATGAAAGTTTTGTTTTTCTGCCATAGTTGCACAAATAAAACCCAGACGCGCTTATAAAGGAACCGAATTAAATATAAAACAAAGGAGTTGGTACAACAGAGACGCGGTATTTAGTAAATTGCATTCACAGAGCAAACATTCAGAAAATTTCTTCTAACCACACCCGAGCAAAAATGATGTTTAAGCATATATAATATAGTCGACAATCGGTTGTGGATGCCGCAAGGACTTTGTGTTCGGAAAATTAGTGTCGTTAAACTTTAAAGATTTTAGTTTATATTTTATTATTCTTTATCATAGGCCAATAAAGTTCAATATTCAATATCTCGTGGTTGTACTTACGATCTTTTGGAAAGGGAATCAGGTATGGATCTCTTACTATGAACGCATAGAGTAGTTATTGCATCGAGAATATAAATATAAAACGTATACGGGTACCTATAATGCAAATCTATGAGAAAAAATTAAATAATGGGGACTTTACACTAGTTTTTTTTTTTGTCTTTTACAGATAATGATGAAATGGTGTACCCGGCTGCATTAATATTATGGGATATAGATGAGTCAACTGTATGTATGAGATGATTTAAATAACGGATAAAAATGATAAATATATACAATGTAGTTAAGAACAACAACAGTAAAAAGTGACAATCATATATATTGACTGTAGTTTATGTGGGAAAGAGAAGGAAGTATTATGCCATCTCGAGCGCACACTGCTGGCGTCATAGGCCCATTACACTGTAATCGGCGAGTGAGAATATACATATTAGGAAGATAAACAGTAAATTGACAATTCTAAAACGGCAAAAGACATTCCAAATTGATTCAAAAATAGGTATTATAAAAAAATGTGCAAAGAGTCTACAACAAATGGTAGAAGCTAGCGGGGAGAGGATTATAGGATGGGCATGAAGTCGGGTCTATTAGCCTATCGTTATGAATGCATCGGGAATTGCAATGGTTTCCAGGGGGGTCTGTCCCCCTGTCTGTCTATATGTCTGTCTGTCTGTATGTCTGTCTGTCTGTACACAGAAGATCGACTTGAACATACGCTATAAATAGTACAATCTCTAGCGTATGTGTTGTATCAGTTTCACTAATCTGTACCAATTTCACTAATCATTAATCTTTATTATCATCATCATCTGTTGCATGATTATCACAGAATTCACACAAAGTACTAACAGTACCAAAGGCAGTGTCATGAACATAAGACCACGGTACTGATTTTTTTGTACTAGCATACGTTAGCTTGCTTGTCATACCCTGAACAACGATCATCTACAAGCTAAAAACATCTAAGTAATATATAGTTATTTACATGACATAAATGCTTATATACATTTTTTTGTACATACATACTATTTATTAGGGAATCTTCTATAATAACAATGAAAAGTGTAATCACTAATCACACAATGTCTTTATTTTGTAGCTTTAAATGTGGCATATATATATTTGCTCTAAATCCCTTCAATTTCCATATTATGTTTTTTAAAATTAATTTTTACATTTTGGCGCCAAATTATTTTTTACTTTTTATATGGATTTATGCACACTGTTGCCGATGGCAACCTTTTTGATTTTCTTTACATGTTTTTTTATATATATTTGAATTTTATATTTTGTCGTTCTTTTTTTATATACCGTTTGTTTTCTTATGCCATTATATTCGTATTGTCTTTATATTTTTGCTAGCGAGCTGATTACACCTATTTTACCTCACCTAGGAACGTGTCTCGTTTTTAACCAGCCCTAATATAGTCCTTCCTTCCGTAACACACACTAAGGAACATCCTATACAGCTATATTGGTATTATAAACTCTTATTATTTTTATTTATCAATATATAAATCGTAGGATATTTAACACATATATAATGTAAACAGAATAGAATACATAACATTTCTAGTATATAATACGTAATATAGATAGTTAGTTAATTATAAAGGTGTTTTCGAAATATCTTAGAAAAGTGAGAACCCATAGTACAGAGACAGGACTCGTTTTCCCGCGCATGCGCAAATTCCAGGATGCTGCCTCCCAAATCCTTTTGTCTACAATCGGATGGCATCTGTCCTCTGAGATGGTTTGCAAAGTAAATTACTATTAAACATTAGTTAATTCAGTTTAATTTAATTAGTTTATATATATATTATATATATATGGTCGCTGGTGATTTGTAAGTAAAGTACATTTTTATAATATGTGTGTTTTATTTCCATATTTGTGTTTTTGTCTATGTTTGTTTTGAATTTAGAATACTACTATGTTGTCTATGGTCTATGTTATTCATTATTGCTATGTACTATTATGTATAATGTACTACATAAATATTGTCTTTGTGTGTTTATGTCTGTAGTCTATTAACTTATATATTATGTAATATTACAGAATGAATTACAATAACTTTTACAAAAATATCAATAATTTAAATAATTCAATTTCAAAAAGATAATTGAGGCCGTTGTGGCCTAGTAGTTTAATACCTAGACTTACAATCCAAGGGTCGTGAGGTCGTTATCGTGTTAATTTTTTTTTATGTGAAATTATATTCTTGACAGTATGTCTGGTGATGGAAACACCACTAACAAATTAAACAATCAAAGATATTATTTATAGCGGAATACAATAATTATGCATATGAACCTGGTCTATTAAACGATTCTTCTCTAATTTTTCTTCTATGCTGTGATATTATTGTACCTGTTAGTAAAGTGGTTGTGTATCCTTATGCATGGATTAAATGTGTTTAAATTAATTTTGTGTGTGTTTTTGCATGTATTGTTAATATAAATGCACCTATTTCTATATATATTTTACATAATTAGTATATGTTTAATATATATAGGATATAATAATAAACTGTATATTAAACATAATTTGTTCCAATCCATACTAATATTATAAATTAGAAAGTGTGTCTGTACGTTTGTTACCTTCTGACGCCTAAACGGCGTAACAGATCTTAATGAAATTTAATATGATGATAGACTGTATCACGAGATCTACATAGGGAGAGATAGAGGATAAAGGACATAGGCTATCTTTATCTAAAATAGTAGACGAATCCGCGGGGAACAGCTTATTTGTTATAACTCTAAAATAAATGTAAATTAATGTTTTTCAAAGGTGCAGGTGAATCCGCAACATGGTGTTAGTTTAAAATGTGGTTATATTTGAATCAAATCATCTAGAGCTATCGAGTAACAAAATTACAAACCTAACGACAATATATAAAAATGTGCACTGTATTTTCCGTCAGTATAAACCATTTCGTATGCTTACCTCATAATAAAAAAAATATACGAGCTCTATGATAATGTTGCAAATTCAAACAGCCATAATTATTAATGTTTGTTACATTAATAATTATGGCTGTTTGAATTTGCACCTTTTCCCTTCCAATCAAGCATAAAATAGTATTACTACATTAAAAAAAATCTATAGTAATGATAAGTAAAATTGAATCAAATCATCTAGAGCTATCGAGTAACAAAATTACAAACCTAACGACAATATATAAAAAACGTGCACTGTATTTTCCATCAGCATAAACCATTTCTTATGCTTACCTCATAATAAAAAAAATATACGACCTCTATGATAATGTTAACAAACACTAATAATTATGGCTGTTGGAATTTGCACCTTTTCCCTTCCAATCAAGCATAAAATAGTATTACTACATTAAAAAAAAAATCTGTAGTAATGATAAGTAAAATAAACTAGAAATAAAATTAATACAGAACGAAATGTTTAATAATAGGTATATAAATAACAGTGTCACAGAAATAGATAATAAAAATATATACGAAAAAGGCGGGAAAAATACATTAACAGTAGATTATTCTACAATAATAGACCGAGAAGACATGTCAAGGATACGTCCTTCACACTTTTCGGGCCCTTTTCAGGGAGACAGTATTGTGTTTGCGACTTTTTTGTTAAAAATAAGATTTATAATATTCGCAGCTATTCTGCAATGACAACGGTTTTGATATCTGCCATCTTGTCTTGGAAATATTTCTCTCAGGAATGGAATGTCTGAAATTAAATTAAATATATTGAATTTTTGTAGGTGGACATATTAGGTACTACGTTTTGCGTTATCTCTGTCTTCGGTATATCGGTTCTTTCTAACATTATATCTATCTTTCTAATATTATAAACACGAAAGTTTGTGATTATGGATGAATGAAATAACTACTGAATTTGATAAAACTTTACATGAATATAGCTTATATATCAGAATTACACATCATTACATAGTATAAAACAAAGTCGCTGTAGCATTCTGTCCGTTCCTATGTATGCTTAAATCTTTAAAACTACGCAACCGATTTTGAAGCGGTTTTTTTAATAGATAGAGTGGTTCAAGAGGAAGGTTTATATGTATGACACATGTACACCCGGACGAAGCCAGGGCGAGTAGCTAGTAGGCTATATATCAAAGCCTATATAAAGGATACGTTTCCAGTTTCTAGCTTTAAAATGGCGATACTTCCATACAACCGTTCATTTTTCCTTACAACTCTTTATTCGCATTAAAAAGTAGCCTATGTCTTTTGTCATAGTGTAGACTATGTGTGTACCAAATGTTCATTTAAATCGGTTTAGTAGGTTTAGCGTGAAAGCGCGACAGACAGATAGAGTTACCTTCGTATTAATAATATTAATAAGCATTGCAACGGTGTAATTTAAAAGTTAAAATGTACTGATAACGCTGGAAGAAACACCCAAAAAGTTGCTATATATTGTTATCTATCTTAGAGTTAAAAGACCTATTGAATGTGTCAAATATATATGTAATATAAATATATATAATATATGTTATATTTAGGATCATCCAACTATTAGTTCCGTCGCGATATCGTGTTAGCGACATAGCTAGGCATGTAACCCAACACTGTCATCCGGAGGGTGCCAATTGTCGCAGTGATACGACTCATAAATTCTTTCTACGGCTGACAGTTGCACTGTTAACTTGTTCTCCATCCTGTGGAGTTTGCAATGTTAGCTGCCAACATCACATTCGTGTTGAAGCATGTGGTTGAACAACACACGTTCGAGGATAGGTCCGCCATTTTGACGACACCCAGAGAGCCGCCATTTCGATAACGCGCGAACTCTAAAACAATGCATGCTGTGCCGTGTACTGTGTTCTTATTGTAGTGATTGTGATGCTGTGTGTGTGTGTGTTTTGATTTAACAGTAAGTTCTTTTATGTGTTTTTTTATTTTTTAAAAATTATACATTAAAATGGAACGCGTCGCGGAATTTTCAAGGAACGCGATCATATTCGGGAGATTTTTGAAAATAACCAGCTGAATTCAGTAAGCTCTGAATTAAATTACTTGAATAATATAAAAACGAATATGGAGAATGATTATTGATTGAATGTTCAATGATTTGATTATGAAGGGTTTTTGTATATTATTATAATTACTAGCGGACATTTCCGTAGCGTATGCGATGAATGACATTTTATGGGATTATTTTTTATATCTTGGGATACATTATTGAAGATTTAATAGAGATCCCTAATTGTTTTCTAGGAATAAGTATAAATAGTACATTATTCAGGTATATTGTATTATTCCAATAGTGACAGAATTTTGGAAATAGTTCCAGTACTTTTTGAGTTTATTCGTTACAAACATACGAAAGTAAATTTTTTTTCTTTTTGAAATATTATTGTCGATAGAGCAAAAGGCACCCTTTTTTCGTATTTATGACAGCTTAGCTTTATAGCATATACATCTAAATTAATCCCTTAATCATATAGGTAATAAATATAACCTATATTGTATATTGTAGGAAAAAAAAAAAAATATTGAGTTGAAGGTAGTGATTTTGAAAAACCAAGACAAAGCTATATAACATATATGACGCAGATGAAAAAGTTGAAAAACCGGAATATATGACGCAGATGAAGTTGCGTAGGTCAGCTAATGTCAAATAAAGTAAATCCAGACCCTATTAGTGAACATATATGTTTTGTTTTAGAATAACATCTCTGTAATTAGTTGATTGGTAACTATATGAAGAGTTCAAGGGTATCGTTCGTAATTGGCAATGATTTAGATGCCTCCAGTTATTCTATTATAGCCCTATCAGGAATAACTGCCTATTATTATGAATTGATACTTGAAATGTTACCTACTGCTATTAGAAAGAGAGTTCCATTTGCTTTGCCTGAATTTGATGTGACTGATTTTACGACTGTAGAGTTCGCAGCACGATTAACAAATTTAGAAGGTTCTAGAAATAGACTCTTAATTGTTAGGGATACATAGATAGAATACACTTTATTTGAAACATAAAGCAAATAAAAGGCATAAACTATATATTTAAGAACATATATGTAGTTACAATAAGGCGGTCTTATTGCTGAAAGCAATCTTTTCAAGGCAACATTAGGGAAACGGATTTTAATATCGGAATGTAATATGCAAACAGAAAATAAACTAATTTTTTTTAGTTTTTTTTCTGATGATGAACAAACATATAATGATGATAAAATAAAATAATAATAAGTATTATATGAATTAAAACTTATTTAAATAAGAATAATCAATATACAAGTATGTATCTATGTATATACAATGTTACACAAAAAAAAAACCTTATAACATAAAGTCCGCCTTCGTGTATCTCTGTATGTTATAGATAATCTCGAAAACTACTGCACGGTTTTCATATGGACTTCATCCATCGATTGAATGATTTCTGAAGAAGGTTTAGGTATTCGATAAGGTTTTTTATTATTTGAAATATTCATTCGTATGGATATTTCAAACTTGGTGAGTCGGTACTAATATTATTAATCTATACAAGTAAATAAAATTGAAATATCTGTTTAAAATTTCAAATTACCAGCTTTTCATTAAATTCATATGAAAGTACGGTATTCAACGAAAAAAAAAATAAAAAAGCTAATTGTCTGTCTGTCATTCACATTTTTTTCAAAAGGTTACAGCATTTTCACCGATTTTGTCTCCAGATTTGAAAGATAAGATCCAACTAAATTAATTAATCGTTTATTGTATATTAATTAATATATATTATGTAAAAGATCCTTTCATAAAAAAAATACTATTTAAAAGGCATTAAAAAACATAATAAAATTCCCAGTCACTTTAAAGAATTGAAAATGAAATCTTTTAAATATCATCACACTACATTTGTGTACATAATTTTGACAGATAACTGTAGTTTTTGTTTTTGAATTAATTCTAATTATAATTCTTTTTTTTTTAATTTCTATTACGGTTTATTAAAATTTTGCCAAAACAATAGCGAAATATTTGACTATTTGATCAATACTAACATTATTTTAATATTCATACTTTAAACAAATAATTAAAATAAAAATGCATTAATTTAATAAAAAAACATTGCACACATTACCATATATTTTGGACAGGCTTATACTCTTTTGTTTATTGTTTGTCAGATTGAGATTAGAGTAATATTGTTTCTCTTTAAATCAAATTAAATCAAAAATAATTTATTCAAGTTGTACATTTTAGCTTGTGAATATTAAGTTTAATAAAAAAAATCCCTACCATTCAGTTTAGTATACAGACCTAATTGAGAAGAACTGGCAAGAAATTCTGATTTTTTTTAAACGCCCGTTTATTCACATTGTATACTTTTAAAAAGGTGTCTATGTCTAACCTTAAATGAAAATCTCGTGCATTTAATATTATTTGTGAATATTATATTAATTACTCGATATGCCCGCGGTTTATCCGAAAATTTTCATGAAATTTACAGCCTATATGTTATTGTAAAGTTACATCAAAATCCGTTCAGTAGTTTTTGCGTGAAAGAGTAACAAACATCCATTCATACTCACTAATTATCATTACTGCATAATTTCATTGGCCGCTAGATGGCGGTGAAGTAGCAAAATGTTGGTATTCTATTTTATTGTTTTTTATAAAAATATTTGATTTATTTTTATTCTACCTATACCTCTAAGAACATGTGTACAAAATTTTATGATGATCGGTTCAGTAGTTTTTGCTTGAAAGCGTAACAAACATCCGTACTTTCACATTTATACTATTAGTAGGATACTATTAGGATTAAGATGGTTGGAACTTCAATCACTGAGCGACTAGTATAAATAAATATCCCTAGTATATATAAATTACGTGAGTAGAATTGAATGTATGCTAGACATGTTATGTAGCTGTCGATGCCATAAGGAAATACAAAGACACAAACCCTCAAAGTTACAACCGTACTTAGGCGGGAAACAGAGATTTACATCGTATGAACGTTCAACGAAAAACAAGGCTGTGTTTCGCAACCAAAAAGGAATAATGTTAGATGCTTGGAATTTATATCCCCTCCGATCGATCCCCCGTCCAATTCAAACGGGGATCGAAATTACGACGGCCTGAGCCGAGGTTCGAACCCCTAGTGGTGCCCTCAGATTAAAGTCGTATCCATCAGGCAGGAATTGGCTTTCAGCCGCTCCATAAGTCCTTCCGCGGGTTTGGAGTGCCATCTGCACTCGCCCCCTAACGTCCGGTGAGTTGTAAAGGCCAGTTGTGGCCAACAGCATTAGAGTAGTCCGAAAAAAAAAGGAATTTATGAAAAGAGACGCAAATGGATAGCGGCAGATTTTTAGGAGTACCTATAAAAAAATGTAGGAAATATAGTATATATTTATAATGTGATTTATCCTAGTTTATATACAAAACCTATCTGATCCGATAGACGTCCTCTCTTAATTATGAGTATTGAATTCGCAATTACTGTTTTATTTAACTTCACTACGATTGATTTACACGTATTTAGTTACTCAACCAGTTGGTCGTGTATTTTTATTTTGACATTATTATTATTTTAACATTTGTAGTAATCATTTTATAGTATTAATTGATATGGGTATGTTACACGGTTTGTGTTGCTTCAGTATATAGATATTACCTCATTAAAATAAAATCAGTTCGAGAATGATTTGACGTTTTACTACAACATTAATGCTTGTTGGTAGTCTGTATTCACATATCTTATATATAAAATTCTCGTGTCACAGTTTTCGTTCCCATACTCCTCCGAAACGGCTTGACCGATTCTCATGAAATTTTGTGAGCGTATTGAGTAGGTCTGAGAATCGGCTAACATCTATTTTTCATCTCTCTAAATGTTAGGGGTAGTCTACCCCTAAATTTTTTTTTTATTTTAAGGCAAAACAACGTTTGCCGGTGCAGCTAGTTTCAATATAAAAATGTAAAGTCACAACTATATTATTTAAAAGAACAACACGCAAGATTCTTTCTAGATCTTGTGATGAGACAGCTTTCGTGAGCGGTAGATTAAAAAAATAAGTAATAACTATTCAAAAGTTAACTGTGACTTAAATGTAAATTATTTGAATAAATAATTTTCTATTTATTCAATTGTAATATTCCGCACAACTATCTTAGAAGAATCAGCGAAATCGGTCGAACCGATCACGCGTGATGCCGTGACCAAGTGAAATAGGGATTCGTACACTGCACCTATATGAGAATATTTATTTTTTATTTTTTGTATGTATCGTAATAGAATTATGCGTCGCTGACGGGGAAATAGTAGAGGTCGATAAGATGAACATGAGATCAGGTCAATCAGCTCATCGTAACACATTCACTAAGAATTTATCATGACGGATTCCAAGTGGAAGCGGGTTATAATGGAATTATGCGTCGCTGACGGGGAAATAGTAGAGGATGATAAGATGAACATGAGATCAGGTCAATCAGCTCATCGTAACAAATTCACCAGGAATTTATCATGACAGTTTCCAAGGGGAATCGCGTGAACGTAAACCTGACATGGTACATTGCATGCAATGGGGTCATCAGTCCATATCACTAACAATCCCTTCTCCTCCATATATTAGATTCACAACATCATGTAAGATGGACAAAGTTGGTCTCTAGTCGTAAATAAATGGGATCCGTCGTCTTACGCTGAGATATAAAAACCCCTGTCGATAATACAATCACCCCATAAGCCTATTTCGGGCTTCCATAAAGACTGTTCTTACTTTTGCTCCCTTTTTGTTATGTTTATGTAAATTTCGACCTAATTTTCACGCAACTTTAATAAGAGGATGCTCTTCGCGTGATTGGAAAGGCAAATAGGCTGATAAAAAATGCTACTGTCTCTCCATGCTTCATTACTAATATTATAAATGCAGAAGTCTGTCTGTCTATGTTTAAGTTTCGATACGTTGAAGCTAATTTTAACTGTGTCCGCGACTTCGGTTGCGTGGAATGGGCGACGAATGATGAATTTCCATTTCATCCCCTATTTTATTAACTTTGAATATCATATTTATTTGCATTTAATTGACAGCCTAAAAATAGCTTTATAAATGATGGTATTTTCATGCAATCTTTCAACCAATTTCCATAAATTCCAAATTCCTTACAAAGGAAATAGGCTACTTTTTAATGCGAATAAGGGTTGTAAGGGGACAGCCCTTTTTCGCATTAAAAGTAGCCTATGTCCTTTCTCAGGTCTATATGAAATACAGATGATACACAATAATTTAATATTAGTAGTCAATAATTTAACATAGTAACAATAAGTTTAAAAAGCCTATTACTAAACGCCTATGAGATTGTTAATAGCAAATACGACTTATTATTTTTGTGCTAATATCTGAGCGATAGTTAACATTTACATTATGTTTATAAAAGTCACTATTCACAACTCTTGTAACGTTTTCATCACATATTTTCCTCACGCATTACACGATTTTCAAGAAAACTTTTCTTTATCCATCCTGATAAAATACAATAAAGTTTAAATAAATAAAATCAACTAGTCTGTTTGTTTACTATAATGATATTAGACTCATGAGGGACAAGAATTGAAGGATATTCTCAGGAGCGTTGATTTTTATTTCCTCAGGATAGAGTGTATTCTTTCCAAAGGAGATATTTCGTTTATGTAGGAGTGGGCTACACCTATATACGATGTGCAGTGGCGTTTCTTTCTATGACATAAAAAATAAATATATTTTTTAAAATAACAACTTTAGACGTATAGTAAATGTAGTGTCTTGTATATCTTTATTTATTTTCTCTATATACTTAGTTACATACTCTCTTCCAGGTTGTCTGTAAGAGATTGCATATTGCTATAAAATCGCATTTTACTCGCTTACTTTATAAACTCGTTTCGTTTGTAGAGTGTAGATTAAGCAGTGAAGTTACAGGATATCTTAGACCTCTAGCTTGGCAACCCATGAATGGTCTCTCATAATATTGTTATAATGCATGAGTGGTATCCTGAGTGTCTCATGATATTTTTTCATCTGTATAGGTCAGGATTACCACTTACCATGAAGTAATTCGTAAGTTTGTTTGTCATTCCAATTACATAAAAAAAAAATGAATGATATTCTCCCTCCTCTCGCCCTCTTTGTTTAACCTTAAAAGATCGATAAATAAGATTTTAATTATTGTTACAGGTACAAAATTGACAGTGCTTCTTATCTAGTCCACGAATCAAAGTAAAAATGTTAATACAGTTTCCTTAACATAAATATAATAGACTAGCGAGAGAAAGAGACGATTCTCGTCTCTTAGAAGTTGTACACGGATTGGAGAAAGAAGTATTCAGAAGAAAAGTATAAGAGATGGACACTAAAAATGATGGACGTGGTGATGACATAGAGTTAAGTGCGCAAGGAACTAGCAAAAAACCTAGGTAAGTGAATATTAATATAGAAATTATATTATATAAGGCATTAGGAAACAGTTGTATTGTATTAAGTTCTCAATTAAATACATTTCATAAAGCTATAATAATAACCAAGGACAATTTACACAGCGCCATATAGTACTGAGCTAAGCAAACTTTATGTTCTGGGCACTATACAATTTATAAAAATGCTTATTTTTTTCGTACATACATAAATATAAAATACATACATATTATACATAGAAAACACCCATACCGATACAAACGATCATACCCATGTATATAAAAGTTTGTGCAGTGCGAGGAATCGAACCCCCAACCATCGGAAAGGGTAAGACCATGGTGTTAACCACTAGATAATAGCCTATTTATGTTCCATGTAACATAAAGGCGAAAATAAATGAGTTTTCTTCTTGCAGTGAGGTGGCAATAAAATCTGATTTACCTGAACGAGGATCATGGGCCAGCAAACTTGATTTCATCCTATCCGTGATCGGTCTGGCTATTGGGCTTGGCAATGTCTGGCGGTTTCCCTACCTCTGCTACAAGAATGGAGGGGGAGCCTTCCTTATACCGTACTTCCTTACCCTCATCCTGGCTGGAATACCCATGTTCTTCATGGAATTGGCGATGGGACAAATGCTTACGATTGGCGGATTGGGTGTGTTCAAGATCGCGCCAATTTTCAAAGGTAAGACAAATTGTGTAATATTTAAAAAAAGCATAAATTAGAGTAAAATATAAAATAGTACATCAGGCATTTACACGAATAATATAATAACCTCTCTTGACATTTAGTCTCCTTCTTGTTTATTATGAATATGACTTCTGACTCGGTTTAGAGACGGGCTATGAGAATTGTCGATGATCCCAATCTCTTAAGTGGTATCGAACTACTTAGCTTGAGGCGAGACTTCTCATCACTATGTGTGTTCTATCCAATATACTACGGACTGTGATCTAAAGAATTATTTGACATAATGCCCACGTTTACCTTTTACCATCGCATCACTCGCCATCAACAGGGAATTCACGCTGGAATTTAGGTGGTCTCGGACAGTGTGGTTTCAGGGGAGCTTTCTCCCGCGTACACTTAGATTGTGGAATGTACTGCCTGCCGAGGTTCTCTCGAGATATAACATGGGGTTTTTCAAGAAGAGTATATTAAGGTTTCTTAAGGGTCGGCAACGTCCAATTTCCATCAGATGGGCCGTATGCTTTGTTTGCTACCTACGCAGTATAAAAAACTACTCTCATCTAATAATATCACTAGGTTACACTAACCGTAGTCACGAGATGGTTGGGGTAGAGCGAACAATATGGGTAGGCGTCAGCAGTTGGTTCAGCTACTCTCACTAGAATATTATCATAAATATAAATATCGTAGAACAGGAAACGCGAAATCTGCCGACGACATTTATAAATACCAATTTTATTCAAACGCAATGCCTGTTATTTTCATTATTACCTTTAAATGTTAAAAACAATAATTCATCGTGAAACAATTATCAAAGCCCCGCCATGTCATCTAAATTACAATGAGAACAATTAGATATTGAGGCTTGAGTCTCGACCCTTTTTAACGTCCAACATTATCTAAAGTTTCCGAATGGTTGGAGCGAGAGTGAAAGCTTTGGGCAATTTGTCATTTTGTATATTTTATTTGCCTGATGAGAGTAAATTAGGAGGGTATGTCTAATTTAAATTAATCGATTGCCTCATCAGTCATATAGACGATTTCTATTCTTTTCCTATTTGAATAGGTGTTATTGCATACTTTTTATCCGCGAACAAATCAAATACGAACCAATTATTGTTAGATGCTAAATATGCATCTAAAAATAATTGCTTTAGTTTTTTTAGTTTCAACACCATTCTTGGCAATAAAAAAAGTAAACTTCATAAACGATCATAAAATTTTAAACAATATAACAGATATTTAGTGCAGTACTGGTTACATTTTGGAGTATTACCATGGTCCTCTGCACATAATTAATTCAAAATTAAATTACAATTACATTGTTATTGAAATAATTATGCATGCTGCGTAGGAAGATGGTACACAAATTCGTAACAAAATATATATAGACAACTACAATAGCCGACATTTTAGTTAGGAACTAACTGGAAATGAGAGATAACAAGCTGAGTACTAAGATGATAACAAACTTTACAAAATACTATATATCACAGAAAATATTATAACATCAATATTACATACGGTTACTTCATAAATTTTCTATTCATCTGTCTTTTACCAAAAACTTTTGGCTAGTTGCGTACTGAAAATGAGAATTTGTCTGATTTTCTTCAATAATAATTAACAGCAATACTAATTAGTCAAATTATATGTTAATATGTATATATTAAAAATGTTGGCAAGGAGGGTAAGGTGAGGCGGATATTTTTTTTATGAATAATAATGGAATGGTGCACCGGCCTGCGATAACGGTATGCGATGCGATATCAATGGAGGACGATAAAATAAGCATGAGGTCAGATCAGTAAGCTCATCGTGGCATATTCACCTGGAATTTATCACAAAAGGAGAATTTACAATAAAGAGTCAAATTCAAGTCAAATTCAAATTTACAATAAAAAGGAGAATTTACAATAAAACGTCATGGAGACATGGTGTACCATGGTTTTTAAAGTATAAAATGGCAATAATATAATTCTTTACAAGTTCTTAATTATCGTTCAGGTATTGGGTATGCGGCTGCTGTGATGTCTTGCTGGATGAACGTCTACTACATCGTGATCCTCGCTTGGGCGATCTTCTACTTTTTCATGTCTATGCGATCAGGTCAGTATACTATTGTATAGGTGAGAAAAGATGAAAGAGAAGTAGTAGTAATTAGAGGTCAAACTGCTGTAAGTAGGTTCTTATTTGTTCAATTACACTTTTTGGGTGTCAACATGAGTCGAGATACAAAGTCAAGAAGAAAAATCATATTGTATTTCATAAAAAAAATGTAACAATACTGGGATAGCTTTGAAGGCTGACATGTGAAAAATTTCAGGCGGGAGTTAGCCTTCAGCCACTCCATAAAATTATATTGTAATTCATATAAAATTTTGTTAGAGTCATCCAAAAATGTAACTATGTATTAAGGTTATATTCATATATACCAACTGCAAACAGGGACTAATATAAACTCTACTATTTAATATGTTTCTAGACTACACATATTAATGTATATATTTATATATTATTATAAATGTAATATATATTATTATATCACTTTTTATGCCTTGATTTTTTTGTTATGATTATTTTTGTACCACCTATGGTTGACTGATAGTAAATACCGCACCGTGTTAAGTTCGCCAAATGTAGATAGATAGATAGATAGATATATAAGTTCTTTATTCAACAATTACAAACACATAGCATACATGAGATACATTTTATAAATAGAAATAAAGTTTACAAATTAAATAATACAGAAATATAATATTACAAAATAAAATAAAATGGAGATGGCTTTATGTGTCGCAATGATGAATGAAGCTACAGATAACTCTGCACTGATCTATAATTAAATAAAATAAAATGTACTGTTACTTTTGTACTGTGTGCATTAAAGTTATATAAATAAATGAATATATTGCTATCAATGGGGTTATTAAACCACATTACTGACAATCCCTTTTCCCTTAATTTATTGTTCTAAACTTTTTGTTTGTTTGTTTCTAATCGTTTTGTAAACAAAAACGTTACACTGGTTCTAACGCGCGCTCAACTAGTGTAACAAATACAATTCCATTTTAATATACAGAACTACTAGTAGTTACAACGCAAGATTGAATTTCTAATAGAATTACTGCTATGCGATAATGAGAAGGAGAAACTAACTATATATCACTGCTCACTAACTATTATAGTAATTTATATAGTTAATAATTGATGCAATACAGAATGTTTCAATTAGGTATCGGTACATTTTAGAGATAAAAGAAATAGTTAATACTTTTACCCTTACTGGATTTGCACGGTTATTTCAAGTATTTTACACAAAATAAAATTATCTAAACTTTTCTAAAAAATCACTCCGTTGATGAATAAAAACCGCATGAAAATCCGTTCAGTAGTTTTTGAGTTTAAAGCGAATTTATACATTCTTTTAAATACATAGAAAATATCCAGACCGATACAAACAATCATACTCATGAATATAAATGTTTGTACCGTGCAAGGAATCGAACCCGCGACTTACGGAAGTAAGGCGTTGTGCTAAACCGCTAGACCACCGAGGTCGTCAAATTTCACCACCCGTTTATCTCTGGCAGTACCATTACGAACATAAATATTAACTGTATTGTACTAAACGCAAATTTTTTTACTAATATTAAAATCGCGAAAGTTTTTGATTATGGATGTTTGTCTCTTTCATACATTAAAGCTGAGTGGAACCATTTCAGTGCATTTTTGGATGTAAAAAATGATTATTTTTAATTATTTACTTTAACTAATTTAATTTTAATTTAACAATTTTTAATAAATAAACTTAATTTACCATAAATTAAGTTTAATTATATGTACATTTTATTTGCTCTTTTTTTTCGTTTGTTGTTTATATTGTATTTTTTACATTGCACTGAATAAAATATTATTTTTTCTTTCTTTCTTTCTTTCAAACACTACTGAACGGATTTTGATATAACTGTATAGTAATATCAAAATACCACATAGGCTATAGTCTAAAAACACATTATGTAAATTGGGCAAGTGTGATGCAGATGAATTTACGCAGGTCATTTAGTTCAAATATAATCTTTTAAATGACTTGGTTTTTCTGAAATTTCCAATACAGATGTCCCATGGCGAACCTGCGACAACTATTGGAACACTGCCACTTGTGTCAACCCCTACGATCGGAAGAACCTCACCTGCTGGTCATCCATCGACATGACTACATTCTGCACCCTCAACGGGAAGAACATCAGCAAAGCGGTCTTGTCTGATCCTGTTAAGGAGTTCTGGGAGTAAGTATATTAAACTTATCCATAGCTACGGTAACTATTTACCATCAGCTGGGCCGTACTCTTGCAAATAAATATAATGATGATGTTCATATTGTACCACGAAGGTGGCAGTAAAGCATACGGCCCATCTGATGGTAAATAGTTACCGTAGCTACGTTTATAATATATAAAAGCAATTGAACTAATAAATCTTTATTTATTTAAATACATTTTTCTTGTAAATTCATTGGAAACACCTACATACAATACAAACAATCATACTCATGAATATAATTGTTTGTGTCGTACGAGGATTCGAACCCGCGACCATCAGAAATAAGGCGATGTGCTAAGTTTAAACGTAGATGTTTATTTTACTTTACATTTGCTAATAAATTATTAAAATATATTCCTATGAGTGTAAAAACGTCAACGAAGCGTGAATTACCCAGAAATTGTCTAGACCAGTGATTCCCAAAGTGGTATATATCGACCCACAGGGGTCTATGACAAACTGCAAGGGGTCTACGACAGCGGATGTCTTGTTGTTTTTACTTTATGTTTTTAACATCAAACTTTACTACAATTAGAAATTTACAAAAAATCAATACTAGGTAAGAATGGGGGGAAAGTATGGCAAGGGGTCTACGACACAAAAAAGTTTGGGAACCTCTGGTGTAGACAATCACAAAAACAAGTCAACAACAGTAATTCATTCGCTATCTATCGACGGATATTGAGAAACATTAATATTTATGAATACTGTATAATTTTCTCTTCATCATTCTGAAACGGAACCAACAATTATCGACGCTTGTTTACAAAACAGTCATGACATAGACACGATTAGTTGTAATAGGAAAGCATACGTTATAAGGAACTTCTTTTTTATTTTTTTTTTTTAATTGGGGGTACGGCCCATCTGATGGTAAACGGCTACCGTAGCCTATGGACGCCTAGGGGTGTCTGCGTTGCGACCTTAAGAAACCTTAATATACCTTTCTTGAAAACCCCCATGCTGTAGTCTCTCGAGAAAACCTCGGCAGGTAGTTCATTCCACAATCTAAGTGTATTATATCTAAGTGTCTAATGCTATTGTCTGGTGCTAAGACCTTTGACACTGCGACCTGCATAGATCTATTGTGCTCGTCCTTTTTCCAATTTCGCTACTTGCATGCATATATTCTTCTTACTCAATAGCAATAGTCTATTGGAGTATTGATTCAAGTAGCCCATTATTAGGACTTAAATGTACCAATCCTGGCATATTCTGCCATGGATTCAGTGCTTCCTGTTTGGTTTTTATTTTGAGATGTCCCAGTTTTAGGCAATGAGGGTCACCACTGAATTGTTATCCCGAAAAGGACAACAATGAAGGGTGTTCGTAGGAGCGATGGTTTTTATCTCCTCGGTATGCAGTGTATACTAATAAGGAATAACTACCCTCATATGTACCATGTCAGGTTGACCTTCACGCAGTTCCCCCTGGAAACCATCGTGTTAAATTCCTGGTCAATTAGTCACGATGGGCTAACAGACCTGACCTCATGTTCATCTTATCATCCGCCACTGGTGCCCCGCCAGCGTAAACCGTTAGCGCAGGCGGGTGCACCATACCATTATCAACCTTAAAAAAAACAACCCTCATATTTGATAATGACAACCTTTATACAACGTTAGGTAATATATCTAACTTTATATTACCTAACGTTGGTACCCAGGATTTTGCCTTGACGGGCAAAGGCCCGTTAAGGCAAAATCCTAGGTCTAAGGTGCTAAATCATAGAACAGAGAACAAAACTCAGCTGTGACAAAACCCCGTAACTGCTTGCCCGTCGGAGCTACTTTTAATTCCCCTAAATGATATGTGTAGTTAACCCAAAAAGAAAATATTTTTAGATATAATTTTTTATAATTTGGCATTAGAAAATATCCAAAATGTTCACTCTTCTACCATCAATCCTTATTATTTAATAACGATATTAATCGATTTGCCAGGTAAGCTAGTAATTTATATAAATATCAAAATACTGTACAATGTTTTGTGAATAACATATTCTTTTTTCTTATGGATGATAAAGGATGATAATTGTGCACCCGCTTGCGCTAACGGTTTACACTGGCGAACCAGTGGAGGATGATAAGATGATTATGAGGTCAGGTCGGTTAGCCCATCGTGGTAAATTCACTGAATTTATCGCGATGGTTTCCAGGGGGAACCACGTGAAAGTCAACCTGATATAGTACATTGCTGGCAATGTAGATATTCCCAATCCCCTACATGACAAAATAAAAAAATATATATATTTTTTATATAGACGTCGTGCTCTTCAAATATCAAGCGGTATTGAAAATATCGGCAACATCCGTTGGGAATTGGCTGGAACACTATTGCTGGTGTGGGTTCTATGCTACTTCTGCATCTGGAAGGGTGTCCGCTGGACCGGAAAGGTCGTGTATTTCACTGCATTGTTCCCGTACTTCTTGCTGACTGTGCTTCTGATTAGAGGTAAGAATTGTTCACATTATCTTCTTTTTGTGATGACTCTGAGTCTGTCTCCAAGTCTGAGTTCCAAATGAGTGGTAGAATCAAAGAATTGACAAACAAAAGTGTTTATATTAAGTTTATTTGAATAAATACTATATATCTATCTTGTGCAAATAGGTGAAACCAATATGTAGCAGTTTTGATCAAACTGGAACCTTTTTCTTGCTCATATCATCCTGTGTTTTAGTAATGTTATCTACTACAGTAACTACATTAATTTAAAACAGATTTATTTCTAATCATTCATTGAATAAAGTACAACAATTGTTTTAATTATTAAAACTATTTCGTATTCCATTTCCACTTTCCATTATCTTCTAAATACAATTATCTTTTTTAATTCCACAATTTCAAAGTTACCTAGTAAAAAAGAGCATCGTCGACTTAATGAAATTTAACATTGTAAATAATATATTTATTAGGTACTTTTTTATGTGTTATGTGAAGAAAAGCACTTCTTTCGTAGTGATAAATTGCCTTTAATGTATTTGTTGGTACTATATCATATTGTATCTTTTGCAGGTATTACATTGCCAGGAGCGATGGAGGGTATCAAGTTCTACGTAATGCCAAACATGAGCAAACTTATGGAGTCCGAAGTGTGGATAGATGCTGTCACTCAGATATTCTTCTCATACGGTTTGGGGTTAGGTACACTAGTGGCTTTGGGGAGTTACAACAAATTTACTAATAATGTGTACAAGTAAGTTTACCTTGTTTTCTATTCCAATTTTTAGAAAGAAGTTAACGAATACTGTTAATACTCCATCTCACACACCTAGTAAGGTACTGGATTACATAAGAAATTACAATCATTGAAAAATCGACTATAAAACAATAAATTTAATGTTTATTTTCTAAAATGTTATTAAAATTTTTGATTTACTAGTTTATCTTCATACAAATAAACTTATTTTAATAATATTAGAAAAACATATCATCTTTTTTTTCAGAGATGCTCTTATAGTCTGTTCCGTAAACTCTAGTACGTCTATGTTCGCTGGGTTCGTTATATTCTCTGTGGTCGGCTTCATGGCTCACGAACAGCAGCGACCTGTTGCAGAAGTGGCAGCATCTGGTAAGTGATGGCATATTTAATTGGAATGTAAAGATTCTTGATCCTCAACTGAAAAAGACTGATGATCCCGTACTAGAAAAACCATTTAGGGCGCTCGTCGGAGGATGGATTGACTACTTTACAAATACTGCAAAATATATTAATGTTGGTGGCTTAAAGTCAAGGAATATTTAATTTAATAAATGTTTAAGACAACTTTGCAGTAGAAGATTTAATATAATATTCGTTTGCAGGGCCCGGTCTTGCTTTCCTTGCATATCCTTCAGCTGTACTCCAGCTGCCTGGTGCTCCACTTTGGTCCTGCTTATTCTTCTTTATGCTCCTGCTCATCGGCTTGGACAGTCAGTTTTGTACGATGGAAGGTTTCATCACTGCCGTGATTGATGAGTGGCCAAAACTTCTCAGGAGAAGGAAGGAGATCTTCATAGCCATTACCTGTGTCATATCGTATTTGGTTGGGTTGTCTTGTATTTCTGAGGTAACTTCTTTCACTAATTAATATTTTATACATTTTTATACATTAAGAAATATCAGATACTTTTTCAGGATAAAACATTATTACATAAATTGAAACAGGTTTTTTATTTGAGGTTAATTGTTTTTAATAACAATATTGGCATAAATTCACTCTAATTTATCTATTTAAATAAAGTCTTTAACGGAGTTCATTTATTTCATACAAATTTTCTTATTTCAGGGCGGTATGTATGTATTCCAAATCCTCGATTCCTATGCCGTTTCCGGGTTCTGCCTACTATTCTTGATATTCTTCGAGTGCGTCTCCATATCTTGGGCTTTCGGCGTGAACCGTTTCTACGACGGCATCAAGGAGATGATCGGATACTACCCTACAATCTGGTGGAAGTTTTGCTGGGTTGGATTCACACCTGCCATATGCATTGTAAGTTTTAGTATTTTAGAAAAGGTATTTGCATAATGATGATTTTTTTCTCGTGAGTACTGAAAGAAAATAAATAACTTCTGGATTAGTATAAATATAAATAAAAAAAAAATAGATCGAATCAACCTATTAAGTTTGAGTTCGAGTAACGAAAGAGGAAATTATTTCTTTTTAATTTTAAAGGCAATGTACCTTATCACATATTTGCTATTAATAATTTGATAACTATTACAGAGCGTGTTCATTTTCAACCTGGTGCAATGGAAGCCGATTAAGTACATGAACTACGAATACCCCTGGTGGTCACACGCGTTTGGCTGGTTCACTGCCCTCTCTTCTATGTTATGCATTCCTGGTTACATGGTTTACTTGTGGCGTGTGACTCCTGGGACCAGACAAGAGGTATGTTAATGACTAGATCTATCCTGAATTTATCCTAAGTCATTTTCTGACCACGCTATCTATGAGTGAAATAATGTTTGAAATCCAACAAATATTAATTAAGTTTAGCAATTGCAAACAAACTTTCAAAAATTAAAGCTCTTTTTAATAGTCTGTAAGCTTTTAATACATTTTAAGATATTATTTTGTTCCAAATAAATTCTACTTCATACTAGTAAAAATTACTATGATACAACATAACATCAAAATCAGATGAAAGAATATGAAATCGCGTAATATTGACAAAAAACAATTCAGTTGAAAACTTTTTTAGAATTCTGGTTAAGAATTTAGAAACGGTGTCAAAAAAAAAAGATAATATGTATAATAACCGTGTAGTAATAGAACAAAAATACATACAATATATATTTTCCTAACTTACATAATAAAAAGAGATTGTGTAAAGAATTCAAAATAAAGTTTGCATATATAATAACGTATTATAAATGAGCCGCTAATTTTTGCATAACATTAAATTGTTAGGGATAGGATATAAGGTGTTAATTACATTGTCCTGATCACTCAGGTTTATTATCACTGCTATAAAGAACATTTGATAATAATTAATGTAAATTAACCCTGACCAAATATCTGTGGTAATATTATTGATACTACTTTTCGACATAACATGAGTAGCTTGTTTATTAACAAGCACTGTATAATGAGTATTTGTTAAATCGAATGAAATGAAGAGTATTTTCACAATTCTTTAACCTAATTTATAACTTACTAGCTACTCGTTCCGGCTTCGCATGGATGTAAATGTATTATATATATAACCTTCCTCTTGAATTCCTCTATCTATTACTAAAATGCAAAATCCGTTGCGTAGTTTAAAATATATACGAGTAAGCAAACAAACGTGGAAGTGACTTCATTTTATACTATGTAAAGAAGACATGCGCTCTTGCCGGTGGAACTATAGCAACTTTCTACGATCTTTCGTCTTTCTCTTTATATCTTGATATGGAACTACTCTAACTTTTTCTTAATCCATTTCTTTATATTTATTTTACTTGGGTTCTTATTAATTTCAATCCTTACTTATCTATTTTACAGCTATATTTTTGTCGCATTTCAGAAATTCAATACGATCGTCCGTATCCCTGAGGATGTTCCCACTCTTAGAACCAAGATGCAGGCAGAAGAGCTGGCAAAGCATGGAAAAGCTTAAATTAAATCTGTTACTTAGACCCCATGGATCTCAAGGAGATGAGAGAAATGTATTTGGAATAAGACAGATTTTATGCACTTGCATGATCACTACCAAATTCTAATTATAGTTACTTTGAATACAGCACCTATGTTATATATAATTTTACTAAAAACAAATGTATATCTTCTAATATTGATCATGCAAGAGTATTTAATATCAAGGAAATGGATAAATATATTCTAAAAGATCACGCACAAATTTTTAACACATGTAGACATGCTTTATAAAAAAACAAATATTTAATGCAAGTCAAACTTAATATTAAGTTATATACCTTTCTTCTCATACAATGATTAGAAATTTAGTGGATTTAATTTTATAGCAATATATTAACTATATATCCAAATTATATACACAGCAAATAATATATTATTTTAATTTATAACGAGGTGTAGATTTAGTAGAACCTTTATAACACTTATATGAATATAGCATTTATTGATGTTTATTGTCAACTAACTATAATAGCCAATTAGAATTATTGTAAAACAGATACTATTATTACCACATCAAAATAACTGAAAGTGGTATATTTCGGTTTTATAATAATCTTAAAGTAAGATTTTTCTGGAAGTAGTGTGCCAAAGGCATTGAATCTAAAATACGCAATTAAGTTTTCTTAGACTATATTGACGACTTGTGTTGGTTGCGTCGCGACGCGTTCATGTATGTTCATATTTTACGTTATATTTAAGGAACGATGTTGAAATATTAATGTTAATTAAATAAATATTAAGTGTATGAGTGTTGTCATAGTTTGCTATTATCGTCTTCCATATATAACTATTTAAATGTTGATTATCTATATTCTAACTTCTAACATGTTTTAATAAAGAATATATTTTAATGTTATGTGGTGTATGAATTAAATTTACTTCGAGTATTCTATCTTATTAGTCGACTATTGTCAAGCTGGTCTCTGTAGTAAATATTTTACAATTCATACTGTACGAAATTACATAAACCTATATATATATATATATAAAGTAATATTTACAATTTATTCTCATTCTTATTTATAGTATATAATACAACGAAATTCATATATTATTTACTAATTTTCAGAGTATGATTGAAATTTCACTATTAACTATCGCCTAAAAGTATATTATCACTTAGTGAATATTTAAATGTGACTATACATTGTTATTCATAATTATAAGAGGTTTGTGTGTTAGAATCAATGTTTAGATGTTAGATTTTGTTTGATGCAAATATAAAAAGCAATGTTTTGAATCTATGGTCTTGTATGTAGTGTTATAAGAATGTCAGAAATATATAGCTTTTGATGTATTTAATCAGAATCAATACTATACACATCTATTACTCTGTAATTATATATAAATGTATAATCTATGCTTATACTGTGTAAATGGTTATAGGTACATAAATTGTTATTATGTTAGTTGCGTTGTCTTCATTAGGTTGTAGATTAAAAAAATAACAGATATTTCTTTAGTTATTTTACATTTTGGTTTATCAGCTTTAATGGTTTTATTTTATTGCAGTTTATTTTAATTTATTATTGGTTCAAATTTAATAGGTCTTTTCATATGACTACTGATAGTTGTGGTTTCATAATTTTTTTAATCGAATGAATGAAAGTGAATAGAATTTTACATATAATTATAATAAGTATGAATTTCTGTGTTCTGATCGAGACCAAAACTCTATACATGTAAGCACTAAATCTATTTTGCCTAAGTAGATTTTTATATAAAATCTTTTGAGCAATTTACACAAATTACATATGTGCTTCAAATACGCATTCCATTAAATTAATTAATAATTCATAGTTATTAATTATCTTATTTCTTCGTTTTGGTAAAAAGTTTTGACAAAATAGTACTCACTTTTTTTAATCAACTCTGTTTTTTTATCTACATTGATACCATTTTTATTCGTCTTGTTTTCTAGATATTGGTTAATCTAGCAAATTTTATGAAGAAGCATAACAAACTCAACATATGAATTTAGCGTGTTCAAACTATATGTAACAATGAATCTATGTCTATTCGTAACGTCAATTTCTATAATTAAAAAAAAATAATGTTAAAAAAAAAATAGTGAACATTCGTAATTGTTTATGAAACGTATTATTATATGCATTTAGAGATGTTTATTCTATATAAGACAATATTTAAAATTATTAAATATAGGAACTCTTAGACATGTTTACTCATACTATAAGATGATATTGTTATAGGAATTTGACGCCATTTTGTTTTAAGGGAAGCTATAAAAATGATAATAATTTAGAAGAAAAAAGTGGTGTGAGAGAACGTCGTTTCTGTTTACCATATTTTAATTGTATGATGATGTTAATTTCACAATTTGCAGCAGTCTTGATTTGCTTTTGTGTTCTTCTGTTTATTAACACTTTTAGCTAAAATAACCTTCTGATCTTCTGATCTTTCAAGAAGAGTCTAATGAAATAAAAATAAATTTATCTTGAACAAATAACAATAATTGTAACTTTTGAAACATTAAATCTATTAAATATTTCGATACAATTTTAACTAAATATTTACCGCGTGTATGTCTGCAAATTAGCGTGTTTAATAAATGTGCTTCCATTATGTGTATTAGAATATATAGACTAATACTAATTTAGAGTAAGGCTACTTACGTAAATATGTGTACTTTTTTTGAGGTTATACTCGATTTTTTTTAATATCTTTGCGTAACTGGAATAATGATCAAGATGGCGGACATCAGAAAATGCATTGTAACATCCAGTATAATTATGCATTGCCATTCCTGAAGCCTCACGTGACATGTCTCCAAACCTTGTTATTTCACTGCCATATCTCTCCCTTCAAACCTGAACAATAAAGCTGCTGGTGGCAGAAGAAAGTAAAACAGAGGTGATTTGAGGTTTTAAATATCTCCTATCTCTAGTTGAAGAAAATTTCTTCATCGACAATCAAAGAAATGATGTAAGATCATAGAGTTTCATTTGATTGTTTTAATTGTGTTGTCTTACTAACTACTGCCATTAAGTAGCATTGTGTTATTAAATTTCAGCCAGAAGGGTAGGGTAATCATTGTGATCTCCTGTTTTAGTCTTCAGAAGTGGGAATGTACAAAATGTTGTTGCCAAGACTGTTTATTTTTCAACATCCATAAATATAGTTTCTAAAACAATAACCTAAACTGATATAGTTCTTAAAGTTACTTGAATGTCAATCTCATGTGTCATTCTTAAAGATTGACATCTCCATTTGTAATAATTAATTACTCAATTATGTTATTATTGTATTTGTAAGTTTAACTTATTTATGTTTGAAAATGCATGAGTGAATGAGAAATTATTTTAGAACAATGACAATTGAATTTGTAGGACCATTCGTCTATTCTACTGAGCCTTTATATGTAACAAATGAATCTATTGGTACATATGAATTTGTTAAAAGAGCAGAATCTAGGTTATTTTTTCTTATGCGTGCAGTAGCAACCGATGGAATATAGATCGGCAGGGTAACCAACATTATTTAACTTCATAACAAAAAGGAAATATGTAATAAAGTTTCGCTCAATTTGGCTTTTTAAATTCGTACAGTATTTGGAAGGCAAAATCTAATCAAAAAAAAATCAAAAAAAAATTTATAACATTGTGACATGGTTGTTACAAGGTTATAAATTTTTATGAGATTTTTTTATTTCTTGATTTCTTGGTAGAAACAAAAATCTTATACTTTTGGTGTTAAGCCCATCCTAGCTCACATTATTTTTAATATTAATTACAAGTGCAATAAAGAGAATATATATGATATACTTGAATGAGTATTCCTGTTTGGTTGACATCTCTGATCAATAGATTTGTTTGTTGTTTATCTTGTCGAAGTTGATACGAAATATATTATTTTGAAGGAGAACTATATTCTCGTGTCTAATTCCTACAAAAATATAATGTACGTTTAAAATAGATTAATATTATGACATTATTTGAATATTATAAAATAATTTACGAACAACATATCCTTTAACAAATGTTTTCATTTAATGAAGCGTTTATGTCATGTAGTTTAGAATGTAATTTATTTATTTCATTAAATTATATAGTGTCTAAATAATTGTATTGTTTTATTTCTATTTTACTACAGTTTCCATTTAATTTTATAACGTGATGAACAATCTTAGTATTTGTAATTGAGAATTGTATTTGCCCCAGCTCATGAACGTGATTTTTTTCGAAACGGGGCAAAAACTGTAAAATGTGGCCCTCTAACACTCTGCCCCACCGGAAAGGGGACTGTTAGTAATATGGCTTAACGATATTATTGCTAGCAATATACCTAGCCAGTTTGCCCACCACGTGGTTCCCTATAGAAACCATCGTTATAAATTCTTGGTGAATGTGTCACGATGGGCTAACTGACCTGACCTCATGCTCATCCTATCATCTTCCACTGGTGCCCTGCCAGCGTAAACCGTTATCGCAGGTGGGTGCACCATTCCATTATCGTTAATAAAAAAAACTCCGCCCCACCTTACCTTCCTGCCAACATTTTTACAATATACATATTAACATACAATTTTGTCGAATTAGTATTGCTGTTATTTATTATAGCTTTTTTAACAGTTATATCTTCATTTACAAATGCATATAACACAAATGATTGGTGCAAAAGTACAGCTCTCCTTGTTTTTCTACGCCATTATATCCTATGCAGGACATCGCCTCAGAGACCTCGTACTCATGTCTTTAGCAATTACATACTCCTACATCTTCGGTCTGGACATAAACAAAGATATACACTGAGAGATCAAAGATTGTTAGTAATAGATCAATAACCCCATTGCTAGCAATGTACCATATTAGATTGAGACGCAGTTCACCCTGGAAGCCATCCTGTTGAATTTCTGGCAAATTTTTCAGTATGAGCTCACTGATCTGACCTCATACTCATCTTAACACCCTCCACTCCTGCCCCGCCAGTATCTAGCATTAGTTCATGGCGTGTGCACTGTGCACCATTCCATATATATATACAAACTTTATTCTTTAAATATGTAGCTATATATACAAACACAGCATAAGTGTCAATCTGTATGTAATCTTTTATTGGAAACTCTGATGTTTTAGCGACTGTATATTAAATAGTAAAATACACAATACATTCATGATGTAACTGGTTTACCTTGATGAGCTATTGCAAAAATAAAACACCATGTTTTATGGCTCATCTTATAATGGTCGATAGTTGAAGGCGCTTCTAGATTTTATTACGATGTAGGTGTTGATCGTGTCAGAATATGTGTTAAAATTAAATGGTGAAGTTATGAGGTAATATATTAATAATTTATAACTATATGAGACTGTACTTATTTTCAACCAATTCTTACTAATATTAGAAATGCGAAAGTAACTCTGTCTGTCTGTCTATCTCGCTTTCACGCCAAACCCTCTGAACTGATTTAAATGAAATTTGATACACAGAGATGTGACGACCTACTGAACTGATTTAAATGAAATTTAGTACACA